ACTTTGTCTGACTCGAATAATTTCTAAGTCGATCTTATTTTACATGCCAAATTGTTGTGTTTTCTAATAATTAACAATCAGCAAGTCAAATTTTATCCAAGTCAAACAATTTTTCAATGCCATTTGGATTCGACTTAGGCAAGTTCAACTGTGTATATTGTTGATATTTGTGGTATTTTTAATGTGTTCTGGGAAAACCACTCGGCAGTTCATTTAGGTTGCTTTTTAGTTTCTACTCTCTTGTTTCTCAGAGAAATAAATGAAATGAAAATGAAACAAATGACTTATTACAAATTCAAGTGTGTAAAGAAAGCTGTCATGAATTTAAAGTAAAATGAATACTATCAATTAATTCTCACAGAATTCACATACAAAAAATGTGGTCCCAAATACTGAAGCTGGTAATGATATCACATACCTCTATTTTCTGTTGGGATTTCTGGTGACTGAATTTGGGTATCCAGGCCAGCATTCACAACTGCCTTTTGAGCAATTGTTTTCAGTTTCATAGAATTGTCCTCCTAATAAAATATCAAAAATGTATAATAATAATAATAATAATAATAATAACAATAATAATAATAACAATAATAATAATGTTATATTTATATAGCGCATATTGCCCCTATACTCTTTACACAGAAATAACATAGGCCAACATACAAATAATAAAAAAATAGTAACAACAGAATAATAACAATAATAAAAATAATAATTATAATAATTATAATAAAAAAATAATAAATATAATAATAATTATCTTCGCCAATCAATAATTATAATAAAAAAATAATAAATATAATAATAATTATCTTCACCAATCAATAATTATAATCTATAATAATAAATATAATAATAATCTTCACCAATCATAATTATAATAAATAATAAACAATAATAATATTGGCAATAAATATATTAAGAATAACAATAACAACAAAATATGAGGCTAAACTGCTTCTACTTCTAACACACAAGATGTGTTCAAACAAAATAATATTACAGTACAAGAAATGGACAAGCATGACTAGCTTGATTTAACTTTCAAAGAAATACAACAAAAAAGGAAGTTTTACTATAAAAAAAATTAAATTAATATTTTAATTAATATATCAAATTACAAGTACACTGACCAAATATGGGATGGAACTCTTATAAATTAAGCAGAAATATCCAGCTACACTTACATACAGATCAACCCACCCCTCTATTTTCTAAAGTTGGATGAATAATGCTCACCTTATTTGAGATTGTAGTAGGGGGAATAGGTCCATTCATCTGAACAGCACTTGGAGGTGTGGGCATAGTAGGCATATTGTTAATAACTCTCGTTGGTTCAATGTGTGGAACTTGTGTCTGTATTGGTGGTTGTGGCTGGGGTACCGTGATTGAGTTTGAAAGCCCCGTTACTGTCATACTGTTTCCATTATCTAGGTCGAACATTTCATGCTCTATATGTTGTTCACTTAATACAAAACCTAAATAATCAAAATGGAAGAAATATAAACGATTATTATCTTTATTTAATAATTATTAAATTCCACGTGCCAAAGACAAAACTACATCATTACCATCAATATATTTGAAATTCATAAATTATATAATTATCACATCACTGCTTTAACTAATCAATTAATTGACTAATAAATTAATTGATGATGGAAATTAAATAATGATAATCATCACCATCACTGCCAACATCATCATCATTATTATTAATATATATTCTTGATAAAATAAAATAATTATTATAAAAATTAATTTCTATCAGGGATAAAAATAATACAAATAAATTAAAATCACTAATAAATTAAAAGAACTGAGGATTCTTGTTTTATTTTTACATCATAAAAGGAAACACAATCACATAAATGTCATTGCAGCAATTAAATACTTGACTTATGTTTTTATTTAGTCAGTATTTTCAAATTGGATATTTTTCCCTACTGGTAAATATAACAAGCAAATAACATTTATTTTCCTGGAACA